CATTCAATCCATGAATAGTGGTATTGAATCACAAACTTTGACCGAAGTTTCACAAGACTTTGCGTTTCATTCAAAACATTTTGTTTCTCTTTTTCTGTCAATCCTTTGAAAAATTCAAATATAATAAAAATTATCATTTGATATGTTTTTTCAATAACTTATTTTTTTTATATCAGATAAATGAAGGAAAGGAAATAGAAATTATTGAAATAACAAATTGTATTAAAAGGTCGCTCAGGACTTGAACCTGAAATGATCATAATTTTGCAAATAAAATAAAATATATTTACCTTTTAATAGACATTTCTTTATTGCATATAATTCATGGTTACATTTATCTCGAACTTTATATACCTTTCCATAGCCACCCTCACCAAGCTTTTTTATTACATCAAATGACTTTTCAAATGATACTGAATTATTCAACTTATCGTGAGTTTCTATAATAAAACATAATAATAATAATCAATTCAATGCACAACATATTAAGCCCACAATTAAGGCATTATTGTAATGTTTACCACAAACGTGTGTATTTTGTTGAATATGTGTTGAAATGGTTTTTAAAGTGATGTTAAATTCATGTGAAAAGTAATCATCAAATGATGAATAAATTGTTTCAAACAGATCTCGGCCAACAATTTTATATATTTTATCACCAGATTTGCCCACAATTTCATATATTTTATCACCAGATGTGCCCTCAATTACATTACCATCACGAATATCTTTTTGTTTGATTTCATTGAACACAAAATGTGATATTTTTTCAAAACCCTTCTCTTGAAAGTCATATAGATATAAGTGACCATGGCTAGATAATAAATATGCACCAGAATCACTTTGTGGAACTGCATTTTGTATGTTAATTTCAATTTCTAATAGATGTGGTGTTTTTATTATATCATCATCTACCTCTCCCCATATAAACACCTGTCCCTCACAAGTAAGAGCAAGTGATGTATACCTAGTGCACTCTATTTTACTAATTTGATATTCAGTGGCAAATTCAACAGGAGTTGGATCTAATTGAATACTTTCATCGCCACAACCAACTTGTCCCTTATCATTACACCCCCACCCGAATACCTGTCCATTTGATGTCAACACAATTGTGTGATAATGACCACAACTTATTTGTGAAATAATTAACTTGTTTGATTGGAAAAATAATATGGTATCCGGTTTATGGATTACATCCTCATCCTCGTCCTCATCCTCATCCTCATCCTCATCCTCATCCTCATCCTCATCCTCATCCTCATCCTCATCCTCGTCCTCATCCTCGTCCTCATCCTCATCCATATCCACATTCCGTCCCAATCGTCCCTCATCATTGCGACCAAAACTGAATATCACATTATTATCCGTATTGACAGCCAATACAAAGTCTTCTCCACTTATAAACTGATGTATATTTTGATGGCATAGTTCTGGCACTCGTTGTGGTGTATGAATGTGTGTGTTGTGTCCTAACCCGAGCTGACCCTCACTATTAGATCCCAATCCATACACCATATCATCAAATGTCACAAACAGTATGTTATGTCCCCACAAGTCTTTGAAAACATAAAAATATTGAATTTCTTGTTTGAAATGTTGTGGTATTTGATCACAAATATTATAATTATTAATTACAGACATTCTATTAAATAAAATATTTTTCACAAATAATAATAATAATAATAATAATAATGAATAATAATTATATTAATTCAATAATCAAACATTTATTTGGATAATAATTATACAAAATGGTGACAATAGTTATTAATTTGGTTGCAATTGACTCGATAATAGTGTTTATGACTATAATATGTTAACTTTATTATGAAATAT